TTAATTTGTGTTTAGTTTCTTTAATTAATTCTAAAATTTTGTTGTAAACTTCAGTTTTTAGTTGTTTCTTTTCTTGTGTAGGGAAGTAGATTTGTAAAAGTCTAATTTGGAGATTTTTGAAGTAAAAATCAATGCTAATTAAGTGGCCTTTGAATTCTGTTATTTTTCCAATATGTTTAGCTAAGTCATTTTTAATGAAAAGTCCCACTCCAGCGTGACGAGTCAGTAGTATTAAAAACATGATTATTAAATACTTATTTCTAAATACTTATTTGTAACTAATTAACTAATATCCCTCAAATGTATGAGTATATGATGATTTATTAACATTAATCATTGGAATTAAAATAATGAACATGAAATGCTTATTCATAAATACTTATTTTTAAACCCTTAATACCTTCCAAATAGACATTAGTATAAGGATAGTTTATTAACTAGTGGAATTAACATTATGTTCATAAATGCTTATTCATAAGTACATATTTACTATTATTTAACAGTATATTTCTGTAAAATTAAAATTATGCTTATTAGAAAATTCTTTTGCTTGAAGTAATACTTGTATAAATTGACATAAATTAGCCAATTAAGATGAAAGCCTTTCTATATTAGCTATAAACCATTTTTTACTTGAGTCTAAATAAACAAAATTTATTAATTTTTGTTAAGCAGTTACTGAGATACCTTTGATTAAAGTTCTAAAAATACGATCTATAGGGTATAAAATATTAGTTCCTTTTTTATATTATAAGGTAGTATTTATTAACAATTATTATAAATTGAACTAGTGGTGTTCAACACCAGTATATAACAAAATCAAAACAAATATAATGTGCCAAATATTTTTTAACATTAGAGTTAGGGTTAGAGCCAGATTAGGGTTAGAGCAGAATATAGTTTATACTAAAATTTTGCAAGGAATTTTTTTTAATTATAATATGAAAGGTGGTTCCATTAATAAAATTTTGTGTTATAGATAATTTTTAAAAAAATCGTTATTTTTTTAAAAAAATTCGTGTTACTAACACCTGATATTTATATTACACGAAATTTTATAATTTAATTGGCTAAAAACGATGTGGTGTTGAATAGTTGAATACCAGTGTATGATTTAGTAAAGCCGTTTATTAATATAAAATTTATAAATTAATTTTGCAATTAAATAATATATTAATAAATTATAAACTAAGATATACTGTAAAATTCATTTTTCAAATTAACTAAATTTAAATAAAATATTTAAATTAATAAATATTTTTTATATTTTATATATTAATATAAATAAAATAATAAATATATACTGTATATATTTATTAATTTGGATATCTAAATAAATATCTTCATATTCACTATAATAACTTATTTAAATATTTAAATATTTAAATTAATAAATATTTTTTATGCTTGCAATTTATACTAAATAATAATATAAACTTTAACAATTTAAATCTTAAAGGGAAATTTACACATAAGGGTCCAAAAATGAAAATAATTACAGATGAGAGCCTAAAATAAAATTCTTATACTAGCAGCTCAAAATTAAAAATTATTACAATAAGGGTCTGTCAGATCTCCAAGCTATACTAAACGACTAAGCTACAAACTTAAATAACGTTGCTCAGAAAAAAGGTAGCCAAATTAAAATACAACTAACTTTTTATATGAAAAAAAACTAAAGGTATTCTTCACAAACCTCGCTAACAAACTTATAACTTTACGAATTTTAATACATTAATTAAAAAGATTTTTATACATAACTAAATAACATGAATAAAATATATAATATATGTAGTCATTTGGATATTAAAATCCTTTATATTTACTAGATAAATTAACATTAATAAATAAGAAGCAAAGTACGAAATATTCATAAATATAAATAGCTTATTTAAACGATCAATCAAAATTATATTTTTGTGAAATCAACATGGCAAAAATTCTCAAAGTAAAAGTGAAAGTCAAACTGAAAATCAAAGAGAAGGTCAAAGGTAAAATAAAAATCATAGTAAAAGACAAAATGTAAGTTAAAACGAAAGTCAAAGCAAAGAAAAGTCAAAGCAAAAATTAAAATGAAGTCAAAGCAAGAGTCAAAATGAAAATCAAAGTAAAAATCAAACTGAAAATCAAAGTAAAAATCAAACCAAAAATCAAAAGTAAAAAATCAAAACGAAAACTAGGTGAAAGTCAAAATAAAAATCAAAGTACATTGCTGTATTAAGCATGATATACATAATTAGTTTTCGAAGTCATATATAAGCCAACAAAAAATCCTGCTACTATTTTTCTGAGAGATGCTATGTAAGTCTTGTAGCTTAGTCTCCTAGTATAGCTCAGAGATCGAACAGGCCTTTGATTGTAATAATTTTTTATTTTGGGCTGCTACTATACATGTAAGAATTTTTATTTTAGGCTCTCATCTGTAATTATTTTCATTTTTGGGCCTCTATGTGTAAATTCCCCAATCTTAAAACTCATATTTTTAATAAATTATATAATTTAAAGAAAAATATCATAAAAACTAACAATATAAAAAACTTAAAAATTAAATTAATAATAACTATATATATACTATGAAGACCTTAAAAATTAAATAAATAATAACTATATATATACTATTTAAGTCTTATATATCTATTTATTTTGTACTAGTTAGATTCAATTCAAATAAGAAAATAAAGTTACAGATTTTTTCTATTAATTAATATTTAAAATCGAAGTACTAAACTTAATTAATAATTTATTTAATATAAGCTATTTTATTATATAGTATTTATTTGTATTATTAAAATCATTAAAATTACATATAGTTATTGATATTTATATTCATATACAAAATAAGAGCTAAAAAAAAGCAAAATAAAGCAAAAAAGTAGCAAAAACCAAAAGCAAGTAAAAGCTAACTATTGACTCAAAATATGATTTAAGCTAGATTTTTTCTTAGATTGTGAAGATTCAGAAGTTGAAGATTCAGAAGTTAGAGATTCGAAAGTTGGAGATTCAGAAGTTGGAGATTTGGAAGTTGGAGATTCAGAAGTTGGAGATTCGGAAGTTGGAGATTTGGAAGTTGGAGATTTGGAAGTTGGAGATTCAGAAGTTGGAGATTTAGAAGTTGGAGATTCATAAGTTGGTAGTAATTCATAAGGTAGAAATTTTGGCTTCAATTCAGATTGTAATTCCGAGAAGTTAAATTGTCTTCATTGGCGATTTGGCGCTAAATTGAGCTCATGTTCAAAGTCATAAGCATTACCTAAAAAATACAATAAAAATTTTCTTAATGATTACAATTACAAAACTCTAGAATCATAATAATTACTTACTAGGCTGAAGCCAAAACATAGTTTTAAACTCCTCAAAAAATAGACGTCCGAGTAGAGTACTTTTACCTTCAACATTACCCATACGATACAGTTTCATTTGCTAGTAAAAAAAAACTTGGTATTAGTAAACTTATAAGGTATATTTATATAATATAATTTAAATTATAATTATATACATTGAATTCTTTAACTAACTGGGAGAATTTATCCTTGCACTACTTACTTGTATAGGAGGTATTAAAACGATTATTTAAGGAATTTGTTATACTTTCCCAAAAACGATTTTTTTAAACGATTGATAATATTCAATATTGCGGCTTTTTCTTTCATTAATTAAAAATCTAATTTCTTCAATTTCTCACATTACTGAAACAGAATATAAAAAAATAAAAAAAATACCTGTGCTTATTATATAAAAGAGAATTTAAAGTTACTAAACATATGTAATTATATATTTAAAATAAATATATATTTAGTATTAATGTATATAAATATTAAATAACTTAAGCATAATCTAGAAATACATATGTAAGTATTGTTAGGTTGGTTTGACTTTTTTAACAAGACCAACTAACTAGAGAGACTAATAACAGTGAATACTTCATGTAATGTCCTTGTTACTGTATTTTGTCA